ACTTTTTCCAGGTACTTTTGAGCAATGAAAATTTAGGTAATTTTTTTTAACCTAAATTACTAAAATAAGTTTTACCTAAATTACTAAAAACTTTACATACAGTCCTCATTGTCTAAATCACTGAGCCAAAAATCTCTAGTATGCTATTTAAGTAACAGAGAATCCAGCTACAGTAGTTATTTTTAACCTTATCTCCTGTAGAGACAAGGCGTAGATTGGTTTTTCTGTACTTTTGCATGGATCAGTTCCATTTTATCAAGAATGCAACGAGGTTTTTAAATTTTTAGATGTTATTATACGCTAGTATTAATTGTTGTTGTACGTATCGTCTAGTCAAGTACAATACAATGAACAACAGATCTTGACTCTGTCCTATCCTTTGCCATCCTCATACTTTCTGATAGATTGCAGCCCATTGCATCAGTCACTGAGTCAATCCACCTGGTTGGGGATTTTCCTCTCCTTCACTGAACTCCCACCATTCCAAGCATCATGTCCCTCTCCAAGGTAGAGCCCTTGCTGACACCATGTAAATGTATTACTGAGAATATTAATTAAGCAACCTATAAAATGAAAGCACTTACTTTGACAGGTCATGTGAGTCATCTTAAATTAATTATCAAGGATAAAGCACTACAATGACTGCACAAACATCACTGAGGAATCAGCTTTGTTGCCATTTTATTTTAAAACAGCAGTTTAATTTACTAGAAAGCAATAATTAACAAGTTTAAGTCTTTATGATATCAATATTTTGTTGTTATACACCATCTAATTGGAACCAACACAAAGCTGCCCCTCCTGAAGGTTTTCAAAGGCAGTGAACTGTGCAGGAGGGCACTGTCCATCATTCTCCCGTAGAGTAGCTGATAGACTCAAACAGCATGCCTCCAGGTTGGGAGTTCAATTCCTTACTATTAGGCCATGAGGACCTTGTCAAAAAGAGCTCTGGTGGTCAAGTGGTCAGAAGCTGGCTGCAATACCAAAGGTTGGCTGTTTGACTCTACCAGCTGCTCCTTGGGAGAAAGACAGGTCCTCTCCCTCCCATGTGTTTGTCTCAGAAAACCCACTGGAGGGTCAGCTAAGGGTCAGTTCTGACTTGACGGTACACAACAACAACAAACAAATAATCAATGTTTAAAGTAATCTTATAAAAGTAATAGCTTCGCAAATATCTCCCTTTACCATACAAAAAATTATTACAATATTATGCTCCCATGTATTTTTAAAAATTTCTTACTTCGACTTTTTCATTTCTTATAACAGAAAATTGGTAAGAAATTTTCTCATCAAAGATTCCAGATGGTCTGTTTCTAAAATGTCTTACATAAATTCTATTAAACTGTTTTATGAGTCAACTATAATAAGTAGATAGACACCTTTAATTGCAAGGTTTTGCAGATCATTGAATTATCAAAATATATCTTTATGGAACTGTGCATTTCAAAATGCTTATCAAATATATTTAATATTCTGTTTACTAAAAATACAACATCACTTCAGATTTTCTTTTGTGATCTACTTTAACCGTGATTCTACTTAAAAGAATTCACCAATTTTTCAATCAGATTCACTATTTTACAAAATGAAGAAATCATAAAAACCACAGGACTGCAACAGTCAAGAATAGAATGTTGTAACTATAAGATTAGCTGAGAACATGTTAAACTTTAATATCACTTGCTGTACTTTCATTTTCCTACTTGTCACTGTATTTCCTAAAGTACACAGAGAAGTTACAAAATGAGTAGGTGTCAAGAGACTATTAAACCCTCTCCAAGATGCTGCCTAAGGACTGAACTGATGAGAAAACTCTTATTACCTGGGATGATAAATATGTGAATACACATCTTAACTTGTTAATGTAAGACTTACCCAGTAGTTAAATAACAGTCCTCTTTGTGTATAGCCATGCAGATAACTTCATTGATATTAATGGTACCATTGGGTGTGGTAGATTTATCATTTTCATAGTAACTTAAAAAGCCGCCTTCTAAAACACACCACTTTTTATTTGTCTCTGTGAATTAAAAAAAATAATAATACAATGAGATATATATTCAATACCCCATGGACTGTCTCCTAGAAGGAAGAATGGTGTCACTTCATCTCACATACTATGGGCATATTGTCAAAAGGGGCCACTCTTCAGAAAAAGACATCAAGCAGAAAAGAGGAAGACCTTCAAGGAGACTAACTGGCACAGTAAATGCAACTATGGGCTAGACTGAGCATAGAGATCATGAGGATGACACCAGATAGGGCAAGGTTTTGATCTGTTCTCCTGAGTGTCACTGTGAGTTGGAGTTGACTAGACAACCTCTAACAACCAGAACATACAGAGTAACACTTTTTGATTTTAGAAATCATGATTGGATGTAAATAAACATATTCATTTGCTATTTTATAGAGTATGCAAGTATGGGATATCATGTTCTAAAGCTCTCTGTTTTGAAGAAACTTATAAAATGCTGATGATACGCAAGAAATAATTATGACACAGATGAGTGGAGAAGCAGACAGATTCATAAGATGCTGCCTGATAATTCTCAAATTGTAAAGGATGATGTGCCCAGATTATTAGGAGGTTAAAAACACAGTATAAAAAAGGAGACTGTGATTGCTGTTAGGTAGGTATGCAAATAAAGAATGCAATCTGTAGTAACCTTATGTCTAGTTAGGAGACTTAATATCCATCTTTCAAAGGATCCTGAAGCCAAATCCAGGCTGTCATCTATGTTTCCAAGTATGTTTCATTGGAACATAATCACGTCCATTCTTTTATAGACTGTCTATGATGGCTTTCCAGGTACAGAGACACAGCTGAGTAGTTGCAGCAGAGGCCAAATTAACCATGAAAACTAAAAATACTCACAAGCTGACCTGGGGGAAGGGAGGAGTTTGCCACGACTTGACTTTTTTTTAGGTGATAGTCATTTTAATGGTTTCAAAAGAATTCTTTTTAGCTTTGAGTTTTACACAGCCAGCTTACTCTGAAAAATGCATGTGAGAGGAGAAGTCAAAGTCAAGTCCAGTTAAGACATTGTTGACTGAAAACTAGCCAGAGGTGAAATCAGAACAGCGATGATAGGGCAAAAGGGGGTGGAAAAGCAGGGAGGGAGATGCAAAGACACACACACACACAGAAGGCAGCGTGCACATGCAGTTGTTGTTTATCAGGTGATCAGGAGAACGCCCTGACTCCACAGCACCTAACAATAAGATAAAACAGATTATTCTCCGGCGCTGGCTGAAAATCGCCTGTGACTTCATCCATAGCCACTGGTGAGAGTCAGCGCCCAGAGCCATCAGGGGCTTTAAGCTCGTTGCCCACTGCTGTGGTGTGGACAGCTGAAACCCAGGC